GAAGATTATTATGCTTTAATTATAAAAATAGAATAAAAACATTAAAAATACTAATATTATATAATAGTTATAAAATAAAATATATTTAAAGTATATGGGTTAAATGTATATGGACCATTTAATATATATATATATATATATATATATATATATATATATATATATATATATATTTAAGTGGTTAAAAAACAAAAAAGTTATTTACACATAATAAAAAGTTCTAGTAATTGATATTTAATATATATTAATCGAACAAAATAAAAAGTGAAAAGTTTTAAATGTTAGTGGTTAATAAAAAAATGAATATGAAATAAGTAAAACAAAATCTTTAGTAAGTTACAAAAATTATCCATACGAGATCTTTAGGAAACTGGGTAATCTAACCACTTTTTTGGTTTTTTTTTAATATAACTTTTTTTTTGCAATATAACCGCTTATTCTGGAATGGGTTATTCCGGAACGAATTTCAGATTATTTTTTGGGTGGCCTGACCCATTTCATTTGATCCGGAATGCGTATTCCAGAGCAACCGTATATGTTCCGGATCGGGATTTTGAAATTCAAATTTCGGAATATAACTTGAGACGACAACTTCATTCTGGAAATGCACATTCCAATTCCGACGTTCCGACTAGATTACTACGTTCTGATTCGATTCCGACACATAATTCTCATCTTCGACACGCATCGACACCCATCTCCGGCATGGAAGACGAGCACTACGACCCCGTTATTTTATGGGTATGTTCTTCGTTTTCTCTTTGTTTGTTTAAGGTTCCTATGTTTCTACTATTACTTACTGTTCCGGATGTAGCAGACCACCTCCGGAATGTACTGAAAAGGTTCCGGAGTTTAAATTAAAGATGTCATTGTTGTAGGACCAATTGAAAAGTAGTTTAGATGTTTAGTTATAGTTGATTTACATCGAAATGTCGTGTTCTGAATTTTAAAATTTCATTTCGAAAGCCTCCAGAACGCGAAGAACCATTCCGGAACACGATGAACTCGTCCGGAACATGAAGAACAGGTCCGGAATTAGTCTAGAATATTGGTCATTTCCATTTTAGAATGACGTGCTAACACCTTTTTTATTTGTGCAGCACAACACGATTGTTGATGTATCAAGTACACTTTCGTGTAAACCCAAAATCGGCGGGGAAATTCTTGCGGCATTCAGAAACAAACTCGAATGCGAGACTATGTTCTGGAATACATGTTTTGGGAGGTGGTTAGACATTCCCAAAGTAAATGGGGATCATTTGCTTCTACATTACGTCTTTTGCCACAAAGTTGTCACCGACCCCGAAGCCAAGTAAAGGAAATGGTTTTCAGATAGGGGTTACAAGTCGTCTTTCGGGAAGAAAGAATTTTGTCTCATCACTGACTTCTGGTTTGGTGACTATTTTCCTGATTCTGCATCCGGCGCCGCCTTCTGTTCCCATGCCTTTCCTATGGTCCCGACGGATGTCTCGGTCAAATTAGACCATGTTACGAAGGTTTTAAAAATTCTCTTAATGAGTTATCGGACGAGGATGCAGTGCGTGTATGTCTTCTATACCTGTTAAATAAGGGTTTCAATGGGCGGTTGGCTAGACAGCATGTTACAGAAGAGTATTTCGCTTTGCTATCCAACCTTGATGAATTCAACAAGTATAATGTCATCTATTTTATAATTACCGATTAATTAAATTACCTATCATTACTAATACTTTTAGAAATTAAATTGTTAACTAATTTTTTATGTGGCAGATATCCATGGGGGGGGGGGGGTTAAGTTGGGATCAATTATACAAACAACCATATACTGTATTTAATAAGGTTGAGAAGCTTATACATCCAGAAGAACCGAAAGAGAACCAACCTCAAAAATTGACCTACACCCTACAAAAGGTTTTTAGTTTTTATACGCTTTTAAGGTAAGTATATAATGAAAAATTTATTATTTATTTTTGTTTGCTAACATTATAACTATTGTTTATTTATTTGTTTGCTAACATTCAAATATGGATTCTTGAGACTTTTTCGGTGAGCAATTTATTTGGTACCCGATAACATAATGTGATCCCTCTGGCTGTTGCATGGTCAAAACTGAGGCTGTTACAAAAGACTCATTGCAACCAATGTTTACAAATAGACGACGTATGCTTACTTTATTATTTAAATATTTATTTATTTTACAATTTATGTTTATTTATAATTTTATAATTTGGTAGCAGGGTAATATACTCATACCGAAGTCTGAGCCGACGAAAGATGAGATGCGTGCTGAATAGTGGGTTGTTAGCTCGGCGTGGATTGATCGTCCTGATTTTTCCCGACACTGAAGTTCACAGGGAACCTTCCCTAACATCATCACCCAAAAACTCCCCTACCCATGAGCATCGAGAAAAGAAGGCACAGATAGATGATTCATCTCCCCCACCACCACCACCACCGTCGGCCAATGACTCATCAATTGACAAGGACCAAATATTAGTGACGTGTAGAACGAGGTCGGTCAATTGAAAAATGAGGTTCGTGAATGTCGCGAGCAGTTACGGTCTCAGGAGGAGCGTTTAGCAAAGCATGAGGCTACTTTAGCCATGATTCTAAAACTTACCAATAAGACTCACAGAGACAAGGTTGGTACCTCGAAGGGGATAGAGGTACATTTTAAATTATTTAATCGTTTATGGTCGTTATGTTTTTGCATTGTTTACAAGTTTACATTACTGAACCGTACATGGATACTACAATGACAATGAGTTATGGGAGCATGATTATGTCTTAAGCACCCCCGAAAAGCCGCTAAATGTCGGCCTTGAACAACCGCTGAATGACGACCCTGAACAGTCGCTGAAAGTCGGCCCTGAGCAACCGTCTTCGGTTATATGCTCGTCGTATGTAACAGAGATTCCGCGGGATATTTACAAAACAACGACGCAAGCACATCTTAGGCGTTCCCAAAAAGTTATGTCCATATGGTATAAGTCGTCATGGATACAAATGAAGAGGAAAAGTGTTACACGGCAACAACCAGCACCGTTGGACAATCTTGTAGATCCTACCGTACACATTGTATATAAAGAACGGGATGGTTCGCTGTTGTTTGCTCATAATTATTTGACCGGTTTTGCTAGGCTTGAGTTTTAGACACGGTTATATGCAGATAGACATGGAGGATGGTTGTCATGTGATGTAAGTAATATAATTATTTGCTTATTACGTACTACACTTCTAATAATAATACTTACTTTACTTCAAAAAATTTAATTGGCAGCACATCATGATGTGGATCTCATTGATGCTAGAATGTAGAGTGGATGATGCTCGGTAGATGGTTGTGTTGTCAGCTTTCAACACTGATACATATGACGAGAGTGACATGACTGACAGATCCGTTTACCCAGCTTGGGCAGAGTGTGATACAATATACTTTTGTTTGGATTACATTACCTGAGTATTTATATAGTAATTAATTATTTCTAACATTTTTTTTAGCTTTACATCCCAATCAACATACCACAAGCTCATTGGTTTTTGAGTTCTTTGGATTTGAAGACATTTAAAATGACTATATATGATAGTCATTGGAAGGACGGCTACTGTTCGGAAAATGAGGATTGGTTTATAGGTCTGAGAGCCCACATCCACAAACCGCTAGTGGGAGTCAACTAATGGGGTATCGAACCAACTGATTCAATCCCACTTGAGAGCTTCAATGTGACCCTCGAAAAGGCCCCAGACGTACCACAAAAGATTGACAACGGAGATGATTGTGGGCTGTTTTGTGTTGGTTCCTGGAGGCGTTGATCACCAGGAAATCGATTTCTATAGAGGGTAAACCACCGGTCCATGGGCTATGGGTTATAGAAAACGACTAGCGGAAATATTTTGGGGTACAAGGACAAAGATAATTTGAACATCGTATTTGTAATATGACTTACAAACACATCCTTTATTTAGTTTATGTATTTATTAGTTGTTTGTTCATTTTAATTGCATTTTATATTTTATAAAAGCAAAACTTATACATTTTATAAAAACAAAACTTATACATTTTATGAAAGCAAAACATACATGCAAAAAAAAAACAAAAAAAAAAATCATGCCTATACCTATTCCGGAACCCTGGTCCGGAATTCCAGAGACCTCTCCGGAACAATGTGTTCCGGAAAATGTGGTTACTTTACCAAAAAAAAAAAATTATAGTTATTTTTGTCAAAAATATCGTTTATAAGAGTTAGATTACTCGATTACCCCCATATCTTTAGTGAATGTCAAAATTACCCTTTGCTGATGCTACGGCCTACGATGCTACCCCATGTCCCCATTTGCTTCTGTTGGGTCTTAAGATTGAAACAACTATTTGGGAGATAGTTCAAATATCCAAGTCCCGCACACCAACCAAACCCTCTTTCACACTACTCAAGAACACCAAAATCCTCTTTCTCTAAAAATTTCTTTCTGCATTACAACATCCAGATTCTACTCATCGCAAATTTTCTCAAAGAACCACTAACAAGTTACGACTTTGAGTAATCAGAAAATTGTGGTAATGTGAGGTGGGTAAGCAAAAAAAAAAAAACTCTTTTTTTCATCGTTAAAAGTATCAAAGATTTCATTTTGAAATCAAGATCGTATTACTTTCATGCTATTTCGAATTGTTTTAAGTGGGTTTATTGTAATTTACACTAATTAGTCGATTTCATGAGTTGGGGTTTGATCCAAGAGCAATCTTGATGAATTCTTGAAAAGCGTGATGTTTTTATGAAGCATACCATTTGCTATATTGAGCCGAATTACACCCCTTATCAAACAGGATTCCTTTTAACCTCTCTTAATCCTCCTACTACCAATTCATCTGTGTTTTTTGCTAGAAACATTATGATTTGTTTCATGTTCTTTTGACTTATTTCAAGTGGGTTTCTTGTAATTTATACTACTTAGTCGAGTTCATGAGTTAGGGATTTGATTCAAGAACAATCTTGATGTTTATTGTAGCATTCCCATTTGCTAAAATGCGCCGGATTGAAGCCCTTATCAAACAGGACTCCTTTTCGCCTCCTGCCGCCAATTCATCTTTGTTTCTTGTTAGAAACATTATGATTACTGTAGTAATTATTTTCGTAATTTGTTGTCTGCTACACTTTCTTGTGAGATTTCTCATGATCAAGATAAGATTATATTCAAATTCCCATCATCAATCCACAAGATTTCATGAAAGCAGCGATGGGGATGCTGCCGTTTATCAAAGACAATTGCAACAGCTCTTCAAATTGCATGATTCTGGATTGGATCAATCCGCCATTGATGCTCTCCCAGTGTTCGTTTACGAAGAATTAATGGGTTTAAAAGAGCCTCTTCATTGCGCTGTTTGCCTTTGTGAATTTACCAAAAAGGACAATCTGAGGCTACTTCCTGTATGCAGCCATGCTTTCCATATTCATTGCATAGACACTTGGTTACTGTCGAATTCAACTTGCCCTTTATGTAGAGGGAACCTTTTTACACCTGGGTTTTCTGTTGTAAATCCAGTCTTTGACTTTGACTTTGACGAAGAAGAAGACCACCGTGAAGCGGCTTCTGGTAATTTCAATCACGCAGAAAGGGTATATCCGGTAAGACTTGGGAAATTTAAAGGCATGAATCGTGATAAAGAAGATAAGCAAGATGAGGGACAAACTAGCAATGGAAATCTTGACGAAAGGAGGTGTTACTCGATGGGATCTTATGAGTATGTTGTGGGAAACTCAGATTTACAAGTGACATTTTGTCCGATTAGGGGTGGTAATATGAGGGGTATTATTGGAAATAGTGATTTGAGAAATGAGGGTGGAGATGGAAAAGAAATTAGGAATGGGGGGAAAGGTGAGAGCTTTTCTGTTTCTAAGATTTGGCTTTGGTCCAAGAAAGGACATTTTAACTTTCAAGATTCTTTAAATCCGCTCTCAATGTAGCCAAAATGTATGCAATTTTACTTGTATTTATCTTGATTTAGTTATTCAATTGGTTTTTTATAGACTCAAAACCCCTAAAATGTAAAAAAAAAAAAAAAACTTTTGAACTTAAATGTATAATTATTCAATTGGAACCTTGTTGTATAATTTCCTAATTGTATCATATTTCCATGGACTACATGACAACGATCCATAAGAATTCAGATCACATTTTTTTTTTTGACAAACCCGCAATATTGGTTTCCATGGTATTCAAAAAACTTTGGATAGGGTCCAAAACGTTTTTCAACTTGCATTGAAGGTCCAAAATCAAGGTTTCTCTAGGTTTTTGGTCCAAAAAAACTTAAAAAGACAGTTATGCCCTTTTGATTTATTTTTTCCTTTTTCTATAAGTATTTTAATGTTATTTTGATTTAAAAAAAAAGGCTTTTCCACCCCATCCCCACCGTACTCTCTCTCTCTCTCTCTCTCTCTCTCTCTCTCTCTCTCTCTCTCTCTCTCTCTCTCTCTCTCTCTCTCTCTCTCTCTCTCTCTGAGCAACTTCGAAACTCATCTTCATCTTCTTCCAGCTTCAACTCCATTTCAACAGTTATTACATCTGGTTAACGAAATTGAAACAAAAAACAAATCAAAAAATGTTCAATATCTAAATCCAAACCCCATATTCTAGATCATCATCGACGAATAAGAAATTCCAACAAAACCCAGATCGGAAAAACAAAGCTGACTGACAAAAACCCATTTACCTAATCTGAAGTGATAAGTGGTTTCAATTTATATATACAAACAATGATTAGAGAAACCAGAAAGGAGTACGAATCTTACTTGAGGGAGCTCGTCCATTTCTCAAGAACCAACCTGTAACAACAAAATCCTTTGAAAACTCCCACTTGAAGTGCTTCAATGACGAATTCGATTCAGTCTCCTTCGGTTCAGAGTAAGAGGAGAAGTAGATATGAGGTGGGTGTTGACTTCGATTTGAGTTTCAGAAAGAGGCAGACAAAGGAGCGTTTAATTTATGGTTTTATCTAATTTTACATCTTTAAAACCAATTTTACATCTTTAAAAGTTAATATCTACTGTTGGGAACACTATTACAGAAATAAACGCTACAGGTTTTAGTTTTCAACTTCCAACTTCATGCCACCAACTTGTAGCTATGTGATTGTGATATACATAAGCTCTTTAGTTTTGTGAGTGATTGTGATACACATAATCTCTTTATTTTGCCTAGTGCCTTACAAGACTTTCTTTATGAAATTCTGCAGCTCCAACATAAAAACTTTGAAAACATCGAAGACTATAAAGACCTTGGTCCCACAACGTGAGTAACATTGTGTGTTTAATCTTTTGTTTTGCCTCTCCTTTTAAAACATCAAACCAAATGAGTTGAAAAACATGTACTTTAATTTATACAGTAAAATTTATAAATTACCTTTACCTAACGTTTTTTTATTTTTTGAGAGGTCGTGGAGTTATGACCGCAAAACAATAGTGGGATCCATGAAGAGTGATGAGTTTGAGAGGCATTCATGACTTAAACTAACAAAGGGTATAACATTGGAGTGGTACTCATGGCATGTGGGGTGATCATATGTAGATTGAAAGAAAATCTTCAACCACTTGGTAGTGGCGTTTATTTTACATCAATGGCTCCAAAAATATTTAGTTATGTCCCCACCTTTCTTTATCACTCAGTTTTCTTTTACGAAATAGACTAATTGAGGAGATGAAAGGTTGACATGTCTTTGCATTAAAACAAGTTGAGTTGATATATCAATATTTTCCTTCAAGAAATGAATAATATATCAAGTATGATTATAAATTATTTATTTAAATAATCCTTCGTTATAAACCAAAGATTAGACACTTTGAACACACTTTTGTTGGAAATTATATTGGAGTAATAGGAAAATTATTGAAGCATGTGTTTAATATAATATTTTTAAAATAAATTTGTCCGCAACCGAACGTTTGTTTCCCATTATACAATCGCTTTACCTATGTGGTTCAACTAGTCAGGTTGGTTAAAAAAAATCGGATGATGTCATTTTTTATAGAACGACAGCTCACACATCCATTTAAACCTACTTTTAAATACACACATTTTGACCACCACGAGGCTTGAATCATCTAACTAGTGGGGATAGACACATTTCCAACACACCTGGTATGGTGATTAACTTTTATATATATAAAAAAAAACTATGAAACACATGTTTCATACAAGTTCTTTTATCTACTCTTTTTTCTATTGACTTATTCCATTAATACAAACACACACAAATAACAAATTGTCAGGATATTATTAGCAAACTTAAATAATAATAATAAATAAATAAATATTTTTGAAAACTAGTTTTTAAGTGGTTGGATCGGTTTTTGGGCGTCTAAAAACCGGTAACCAGACCGGGTCCCGTTTCAATAGGTCAAACCAACTAGTAAGGTCTGCTTTTCAAAGTGATGGCTACAACAATTATCCAAAACTGTCGATCTTTCTAGGCATGGATGTTACATTCAAAATAGAATGAAAATGTAGTATTGGAGGGAGAAGAATAGATGATTGAATGTAATTTCAGTCTAAAATGGTCATGAAGTTGCTAACCGACATAACAAATCTTAACATTCATACACTAAACTAAATAAGTTAGTTGACCATTTTAGTTTTAGGTTGACATACGACATGGTTTTTTAACTCCACCCCTCAACCCCAACTTGAAATGCATTAAACATCCTCAAATTCTCTATAAGAAATTTATTTTGGTTAGCAGTTACAAATTTCGTATAAATATCTAAAACTTGTTGCAACGACTCAACCTTTAACACCTTCACAATACCTTCTGAAACCTCATTTCTGACGAGATGTATATCATCTTTGTAAGCCTTTGTCCTTTCATGTAAGACATGATTGGATGAAACACGTATTGTATATCGATCATCAGAAAAGATTTTAACAAGTAAAGTAAAACTTAAGCTCAAATCCTTCATTAACTTGAGAACCCACAAAACCTCACATATTACACTTACCAACACATAATATTAGTATTTAACTGAAGAACAAGAAATTATGGATTGCTTTTTTTACTTTTCCACAAGATAAGTGAATTTCCCAAAAATAAAAAATAACTCGTATTTGACCCTCTAGAGCTAGTACACTTACCGTAATATGCATGTGCCTAAGCGTACAAAGAAAGTGTACTTCCCTTAGATATCATAACATATTTGTCTAGGACTAAGTTTTAAGTACTTCAACACACGCATAAGAAGTATGTGATGTAACATTTGTGGGGCGTGCATAAATCGACTAAGTGTTTGAACAAGGAAAGAAATATCAGGTCTAGTGTAAGTGAGATAAATAAGATTTCCCATTAATTTTTGAAATTATTTTATATTTACAAGCAAATTGCTAACTCATTACTAACAAGAAAATTCAAGTCCATAGGAGTAGGAACAGGTTTAGCAACTAATAATCCATGCTCATGAAGTAATTCTAAACAATATTTTTGTTGTGAGAGACAAATACCATCAGATGTTTCAACAATGTCAATTACTAAAAATTATTAAAAAGTTCACAAGTCTTCAATTAAGAACTTTGTTTCTGATAAATAGTTTACATATTCAATTTCAGCATGACTATTTGCTGTCAAAACAATATCATCAACATTAACGGGCAACACAATAAAAATATTATCATGTTGGTTAACAAAAAGAGGATAACCATTCTTGCTTTGAACAAATCAAAATTCTAACAATGAATAAGTTAACATTTCATTCTATTTTCTTGGAGCTTGTTTAAGACTATACAACAATTTACAGGCTTGCACACTTTGTTATCATACTCAAACAAATATGCAGAAGGAAGTGACATGTAAAATTCTTCTTCAAGAGAACCATATAAAACAAATTATTTACATCTAATTGATACAACTTCTAATTTAAAATGAACAACAATAATCATAACACAATGAATGATTACTAATTTGACAACCAGTGAGGTGTCCTTAAAATTGATACATTCTTGTTGATTATAAACCTTTGCAAGCAACCTTGCTTCGATACATTCAATTTCATCACTAGATTTATATTTAAATTTATACACCCATTTTCACCCAATAGTATTTCGCCCAATAGGAAAATCATAACTACTCAAGTTCCATTTTAATTTAGAGCTATCATTTCCTCATTCATAACTCTAACCCAATTTGTATCATTAATTGTTGGGTTTTTATTCAAAAATAGTCTAATTTTAGTGTCAAACTTGATGTAATTAACAATGGAAGTGATTTTATATTTGAATAAACAAAATAAATTTACCCACCAAGGATCATTTTGCAAAGCTACAAAAGATTAAAACACAACTCAAAAGAAGAAAGTGTTACAACCTTTGTAGACTTTGGTCCCTCTCGGGAGGTTAGGTGTTGATGAAAAATGTAGAGCAAAGCTCCATCTTGTCTAAGACACCAACAATAATCAACTTGATGAAGATGCTAGTCTTTATCTTGTAATGATGTAAACTCTTAAGCCTTAAGTTAATAATAAATAGTAACTCAAGGATAGTATGAAAGTATCATTATCTTTTTCATATGACTTAACCCATTAAGTAGAAAGAAAGAAGAAGAGATGAAGAAATAAGAGAGTATGCTACGGTTTTGGGAGGTGAAAGAACCAACAAAAAACTAGCTACTTATCTTCTCATTTATGCATGAAAAGCCATGTACCAAGTATTTACAACCCATTCCCTCTTATAACTTTAGCTAAGGAGGAATAGTGTATGTACTTTGAAAAGAAAATGCAAGCAACCATCTAATCCTTCACACCATGTGTTTTTTGGCCATAAAGAAAGAAGAAAGAAGAAATATGCAAAACACTTTTATTTATTTATAGAAAATCAACTCCATATTTCATAAAAAAAACTAACTCCTTTAGTTTATATAAAAAAACTAATGACATATAGAAAACATTCTAAGTGTTTTTACAATTAATTATAAGTAATATTTATC